TACGTGCTGCTGTAAATATTGGGGTACAAGTGCCCCTTCGAAACAGCACTCCTGTATCCTTTGGATAAATACCTAGTAGTGCAATTACTGGGTCATAGGGTAGTTCTATTTTTAACTTTTTGAGGAACTTCCACACTGTTTTCCTGAGTGACTGCACCAGTTTGTATTCCCACCAGCAGTGCAACAGGTTTGCTCTTTCTCTGCATTGTTGCCAACATCGGTGTTACCTGAGTTGTTAATTTTAGCTATCTGACAGGAGTGAGGTGGTATCTCATTGTGGTTTTGATTTGTATTTCCCTGATGATGAGTGATGTTGAGCATTTTTTCACGTGTCCATTAGACATCTGGATGTCTTCTTTGGAAAAATGTCTATTCATGTCTTTTGCCCATTTCTTCACTGGATTATTTGTTTTTGGGGTGTTGACCTTGATAAGCTCTTTATAGATTTGAGATATTAGCCCTTTATCTGATATGTCATTTGCAAATATCTTCTCCCATTCTGTTGGTTGCCTTTTCATTTTGCTGATTGTTTCCTTCACCATGCAGAAGTTTTCATCTTGATGAGGTCCCAACAGTTCATTTTTGCTTTAGTTTCCCTTGCACTGGGAGACATGTCAAGTAAGAAGTTACTGTGGCTGAGGTCAAAGAGGTCTGTGCCTGCTTTTTCCTCTAGGATTTTGATGGCTTCCTCTCTTACATATAGGTCTTTCATCCATTTTGAGTTTATTTTGTGTGTGGTGTAAGAAAATGGTCCAGGTTCATTCTTCTGCATGTCACTGTCCAGTTTTCCCAACACCATTTGCTGAAGAGACTGTCTTTTTTCCATTGAATATTCTTCCCCGCTTTGTGAAAGATTAGTTGGCCATATGTTTGTGGGTACATTTCTGGGTTCTCTTTTCTATTCCATTGATCTATGTGTCTGTTTTTGTGACAGTACCATACTGTCTTGATGATTACAGCTTTGTAATACAGCTTGAAGTCTGGAAATGTGGTGCCTCCAGCTTTGGTTTTCTTTTTCAGGATTGCTTTTGCTATTCAGGGTCTTTTGTGGTTCCATACAAATTTTAGAATTGTGTGTTCTAGCTCTGTGAAGAATACTGGTGTTATTTTGATAGGGATTGCACTGAATATGTAGATTGCTTTGGGTTGTATCGACATTTTAACAGTGTTTATTCTTCCAATCCATGAGCATGGATTTTTTTTTTCCATTTTTTGTGTGTCTTCTTCAATTTCTTTCATAAGCTTTTTACAGTTGTCAGTGTGTAGATTTTCCACCTCTTTGGTAAGGTTTATTCCTAGGTATTTTATGGTTTTTGTTGCAATTGTAAATGGGATCGATTCCTTGATTTATCTTTGGGCATCTATTGAGAGGATCATGTGGTTCTCATTCTTTCTTTTATTAATGTGATGTATCACATTGATTGACTTGCAGATATTGAACCAGCCCTACATCCCAGGAATAAATCCCACTTGATTGTGGTAAATAATTCTTTTAATGTATTGCTGGATCCAGTTGGCTAGTATTTTGTTGAGAATTTTTGCATCCACGTTCATCAGGGAAATTGGTCTGTAGTTCTTTTTAGTGGAGTCTGTCTGGTTTTGGAATCAAGGTAATGCTGAGGACTGGCTACTCCTAACTTCTATAGCTCATGTACATAAATATTTAGAAGTTATAAATGAAGCTAATGGATGGTTAATAAACTAGTTGTATTCTCCAGTCTTCATGAGCTGAATCCATAATGACTTGGAAGGCCAGGTTTGAATTGTAGAACTGTCAGATTCTTCCGAGATACTTGCCACAATATGGTGACCCACTGCCAGTCTCCCCACTCTTTACATCCTAGCTCCTTCCAGCACCACACCAGGAGGGTTCTTAGACCCACATGAGCAGATGCCCCACCTCATGCACAAGCTCTAGTCACATCCCCACACCCTTGCCTCCTGGCAAACAGGTGTCTCTGTCCTAACCTTTGAGCCTCAATGTGCATAAACTGGCCATGTGTTTCTTTTTAGGGGGTTTGAACTCAGGGAAAAGGCCCACAAATTCCCTAAAAGTTAGCTTGGGTGCAGTTTATAAGGAGGATGTGGTAAGGATTCTAAGTAGGCACATCCCCTTGGCTTTGTGGCCCTCCTGCCCTGTGGAGGGAATTAACGGGTGGAGGAGGGCCAGAGTGAGGCTCTTGAAAGTGTAGAATTCCCTCTTGCCCAGGTCCAAGGCTAGTACTAAGTGGTAGAACTGTCCAGTGTTCCCACAAAGAACATCTTTAAAAGTAGCAGGTAAATAGTGAAGCTATGGCCTTAGAGGTCCACACTTATATCCACACTTGTCCAGGAAGTTCAGAGTCTTTGAGTGGACCATAGTGGGTTGGACACAGACATTCCACCAGTATGGAATAAAATGGAGAGACTTTCCTTCTCTCCATTTTCTAGGCACAGAAAATATTCCAGCTGACCCAGGGCCTGAGGTAGGACCCCCGAACAGGACAGAGAGAATTTCTCAATTTCACTAGGTAGTGGAGAGCTCATCTAGCTAGTGGAGAGCTCATATTTTAATTTGATTTAGAAAAATAAAGTCATGTGACATGGCCTATACTTCATTCTAGTGTGATACATACATGGATAATAACAAATACATAAACCACATTATCCAACTTCTGAATCCTTATAGGGATCTCTTACACCTGCTGTCTTCCCTGTTTATGTCTTCCCCTTTGTTTACTAGTCTTCTACATTATAAACTCTTTGAAGGCATGAAGTGGATTATTCATCATTGGGTTCTAGCTGAATTCATCACAGTGCCATGTACACATCAGACATTCAATAATTCATTTGTTGAGCTGAATAGAATTTTTCTGAAAGATTAAAAACGAGTGGCTAAGGATATATTACCTTGTTCCAATGTTTCTTGTAACTAGTGGGTTTTTCTCCTATTTCTGTATTAATTTAGATGAAACATTCATTAAGCTTTCTTCTAAAGTACGTAAATAAATATGATCCTTTACAACATTTAATAAATGTTTAGTTTCCAAAAAGAATTCTTGGTAAGTTCCTGTGACATATAATTTTTCTTTAATAAAGTCAAATTCAAACAAAATTAGAACAAAGTTATACGAAAGGTAATAGCAATGACAGCTTCTGACATTTTTTGCTCTTTGTCATTTCAAAATAGACTTTTTCTTCCTTTTTGGAATTTTGTGGTGCATGAGTACCCTTAAAGAGGTCATATGTAGAAAAATAACATTATCTAGTACAAAATATATTTGAGAGCATGAGTCATGACTGGGAACCAATATTTTGTAAGGATACTTTACAGTCACTTTTAGGCAATGTTTATACAAAGCCTAACAAACTTGACCCTGACTTGGCAAAATCAGTCAATGAGTGAATTAGGCAACCAGCTTAGTTGCTGTCCTGGAGTTCAGACCAAGCAGCTGGGCTGCAGGGGCCCACACCAATTAGTTTTGCCAGACAGTTGTTTATTGGGTTCGCACATAAGGATATGATCTTCTTGACGTTACAGAGATGCCAGGTTTCTTTTACATAAAATATCTTAGTTGATAATGTGTAAATATATTTTCTGATTAAAATGGGTATTTACATTTTAATGGGGTTGCGCACATTACTGCTTCACAATGATTAAGGATATGGGGTAGTAGCCAATATTCTTCACAACCGATAAGGCAGGATCACCAACTCATCAGAACAGAAGAGGCAGCCATTATAGTTTGGACAAGAACCCAAATTTTCTCTTGCTATTCCCAAAGGTACTGCAGCTACCTGAATACACCACTCCTTCCCTTGATGAGACCCACGTCAGCCCAGGAGTGTGATCTCCCCCATACCTCCCAGCTCTAACCTGGAAAGGAAGCAGGGCAGATATTTTAAAATGTTGTCCCAGGATCCTATGGGCCCACCTACAGGTCACAATGTATTTATCTCCTAGGACAAAAGACCAAAAAGAAGAAATGGGGGGCGACGAGGGAATAAACAGTAATGGTGAGGTGACTTACTTACCCTTCACTCCCTTAACTGAAACTTTCTCTAGAACAGCAGGAAGAGTCAAAGGAAGCACTGAAAAGATGATGCGCTCCTGCAAATGTTTCTCAGCTTCTAGGATTTTGATGGTCTTCATTAGTCTGAATGGATGCCATCAGCAATCTCTAAATCTATAACCGCTCTGTCGTCTGCAGTAACTCTCTGTCACTAGGACTAGCTGTTTTGGCAGGAGCTCTGGTACATTTGGCCCGGAGGCTGTGCCAGAGACAAATGAAGGTCAGGCCTGAGAGTTTGGTGGCACCTGGCTCCCAGCCTTTTGTCCTCAGTTCTGTTTGCGCACACAACCCCAAGCACATAAAAGAATACTGTGTGATCTCATCATAAGTGCTTCAAACTTATTGTACCATTTATTGAATACAATTTCCCTTCTGTTGAGAAAACTGTGTCTGAGAGACTTTATGAAGTCGTCTTATAGGGAATACAAATGGGAAAAAGCGTACAGATCTACTGGTGTTAAGCAGGATTGTGTGAAATAAACAACCCTGTTTTGCTTAGAAAAATCTGTTAGATCAAGAAAAGAGTGACTTTCCAAGAGAAAGATGGGTTTTCAAGATCTGACCGTGGTATATGGTACTATGTCATTTTATTCTGGAAAAAAGAAAGCATTTACAGCCTACTATTTTAAACTGAAACAACAGCTTTTGCTAATTTTCTAGCTTGCTTTTTTTGTAAAGTACAGTGACCAAGCACAGACAATCATGAGCAAAATGTTGACTTCAAATGAAATTTTGTATGCAATTTTTAATTAAGCAATCCCGTGCAAACATTTTTTTTTCTTTAACATCAGGAGGAAAGAAAACAACCACACTTGGGTGCTGGTGGAAAACAGAAAATGCTTTCTCATTGCAATCAGATTTCAAAGCAGTGGAGTGTAGGGAGGCAGGGCCAAGGCCCTTAGTATTCCTCAGGGTTGCTTGATTGCAAGTCTCGCAAATATGAATCAATTATGTTAGGAGGTACGCCTTGCAAGAGAAGCCTGCAGAAGGAAAGACCACCTAGAGAGGACAAAAAGGAAAAGGCCAAGTCAAAACCGTCTACATGAAAAATTACTGAAATACTACTTCCTGACTAGCTGCCTAGAAATGTGACTAATTATGTTCCAGTTAGTCACAAAGATTCATTCAGTCCTACTGGGAAATCTCCTGCATTTAGTACATTTAGAATTTAAAGCAGTTGGCATCTAGAAGGAAAAGCAAGTTCCCGGCAGATCCATAGCAGTTTCTTGTTCCCTGCTATTATTCCATCTTAGTTTAAATTCCTAACTGGTTTTGGAAAGGATCTATTGCTCTTTTGGGTTTTGGGATTCTTCTATAGATGATTTAAGCCCTCTGGTTGAATGGCAGAGTAGATGTAGACCATGTTATGAATCAGTGAGAAGAACTGTTTTCCTGTTCGTTAATGTTCCTTTTAAATTTTTTTTTTTTTAACGTTTATTTATTTTTTTGGGACAGAGAGAGACAGAGCATGAACGGGGGAGGGGCAGAGAGAGAGGGAGACACAGAATCAGAAACAGGCTCCAGGCTCTGAGCCATCAGCCCAGAGCCCGACGCGGGGCTCGACCTCACGGACTGCGAGATCGTGACCTGGCTGAAGTCGGACGCTTAACCGACTGCGCCACCCAGGCGCCCCAATGTTCCTTTTAATTTAGCACAAAGAACTCCAACTCAAGCACAGTGGAGAAGAAAAAAGGAACCACTCCTTTAATTTTGGCTATTTATACACTATCAAAGTGCAAAAATTGGAAAGATTTTGTTAAAAATAGTAAAACGTGTCCAATGCCTTCTGAACGTGAAAAATCCTACTACTATTTCAAACTTACCTTCCATGTGTCTGAATTATATTTATAAAATAAAAGTACCCCTTCACAAGAGAACCCATGAAACTATAAAAATTCATGGTCCTTTAAGGAAGTGCTTCACTACTTGCTAATAAACTCACGTCCAGGCAAAAACAGCATGCCATTTGAACATTCTTAAAACTCCTTTAATGCAAATTTGGGAAAGTCATTCTCCTTTTTAAAAAAAAAAAAAATTCAAGTCACATATTGGTAGAAATGATGCCGCTTATGTACATGTCCATTCCTTGATGCAAAGCGTTCAGAATGCTTGGGTATCATTTTCATCAACATTAAATGCATTAATTCATGCTTTACTGCATTCAACAACTTGCTTCATGTCAACAGGAGATTGTTGTGATGAGTAAGTACTAGCTGTTAATGTCAAGATACTTAAATACAAATTAAAACTACAAAGTTAGAGATTTTAAATAGTCTATTTTCATTGGATTACAGAATGAAAATCATGCCATACTCCACAGGCTTTGTATGGCTTATGACAGTCATAAGCTTCATATGCCAAAACCATATGAAAGCTTACCTTAGATGATAATATACATTCAAAAATCCTTACTGTGCTACAACTAAGGGAAAGAGAGAAAGAGAGAAGTTGTAAGCATTAATAAAGTGCTAAAACCAAAGTTGAGTACTTGTTGGATGAAATTATAGTCATGATTATGATGAGGTGATTTCATTAATCCTTAGTCATGTGAAAGATGTAGGAAAATAGAAGCATATGGAGTGAAGGGCAGGGATCCAGTCACTTCAAAAGGAAAATTAATATGTAAAACATTTATTAATATGCACAACAACTTTGCCTGATCAGGTGGCAAAGCCAACTTGATTGTACAGTGAATATTTATGGTAAAAGCTTCCAAACCATTAGCTTAAAAAAAAAAAACCTACAACATATATATATTGTGTTTTTCAACAAAAGAAAAACAGAGACAAGAGACAAAGCATTAGTGTACATATATATATGTTGAAATGCTAAAAGGCAAAATTATCAAGTAGATAAAAATATTAAACTAGTATATTCTATAATATTGTATTCTGAACTGATTATATATGACTGATCTAAATAAACACAAGGCCTAAACAAACTTAGGGTAGAAAGCTACTCTATGTATAATCTACAAAACCTTAAAGAAAGAGCCCTACTTTGGTCATCTTTTGCAAGCTGACATTATCTCTGGGAATTGTAAACTCAGGCATAGATTTACAACATTAGAGTTTACATCAGGTTGTTTACCCAGTCCCAAAGAACTTCTCAATTCATTATTCCAAATGGGGGTGAATTATACTTGTAGAATAGCACTCATTTATTGTTTAATACATTTAGTAATGGGACCCAAAATTTTCTTTCAAGTTCATAAATATATGAAATAATTTTAGTTCCATGAAAATATCCAAAATGTCCAACAGATGGAGAGGTCATAGACATTCTATTGGTAAATATTTCATTGGAAATCTTAAATATGAAAGTTTCCAAATATTGGATCCAAATATTCTAAATATTTGTGTCCTTTCTTCATCAAAAATGTCTAGAATATTTTTCCTACAACTTAGTAAATTAAAAATGCTCAACATGAATCTAAGGAAACTACAGCAGAAATTATCTTAAAGGAAGATCATATTTCTCTTCATTTGGAAAATGAAAATATTAAAGAAATGTCATTGATTCCCAAGTTTTGATAATCTGATATCTCCAATGAGGTCATCTTAAAATGTAGCTCTTTGGCTTTATTTATGGGGATGTGTGGTATAGTACTTAGTTTTCTGACAAAACATAGTGCCTACATTAATTAATATCCTTGAATAATTTGGCCTTCCTGTTCATGGCATAAACACTGTATGCCATGAGCTGCTAACAGATACAATGAAAAGCAAATGAGAAAGTCAAGCTTTACATGCAAAGTGCGATTTCATGTAAGAGGAATGGAACAGAAAGTAGAAATATCCAGTGGGATATGAACTTTTAAAACCTGTTGCTGCCCCTCCAGGAAGATTGGTTGTCCAGGGGTATTTAGTCCTTGATATATCACTGTAGAATTAGAATATTTGTACCAGTATTTATTTATTCTCCGTTGACATTCTTACCTTTTTCTTTTTTTTTTTTTTCACAGCTTAACTTGATTCAAGTCACCTATTATCAGATAACAATCTGATGATAAACAATCTTGGGTTTACTCTTAGGACTAAAAGTTTTCACCAATATACCACAGTTGATGCCTTATTATGAACTCATGTACTAGGATACATTCTTTATATTATTAAATTCAGTTACTATATAATTTAATATATGATTACTATAAATGATATATCATCTATCTGTATAGTATTATTTGCTTCTATGGAGGATCTCAAATGTTGAACCATTTATGAAATAATCATTTTACACCATTAGCAACATTCTTTTATTTTCAAAGCATGCAGAAGTAGTACTAGTTTTTTGTTGGATTTTGTTGGATATTGAGACATAAGTACCAACAATACTTTAAAAAAGCTAGGGGTTGAGAAACCAGATATATTTGCAACTCTTAACTTAGTTTGAATTTAGAACTAATAAACAGATAAAAATAATGCTTAAATTTGTAAACACTTTCTCAATAGTCATGTTTGACACTTTGTAAGAATATTATTGTTTTATATTTGAGAGAAAAAAATTTAAAAATTTCTACTTATTCAGTTATCAATCTACTATACTGTATTACTTGAGAATGGACAGAAATCATAGCAGAAAGAATACTTTTTTTTAAGTTATGAAAAAATTTTTTCAAAAAGTGTCTTTATTTATACTAGATTTAAGACTAAAACCTCTTTTTTAACATTAATACTTTAAGTATTTACTATTTTTTTCTAAAATAGATATTTACAAAGTTATCTTTCTGACTTTTGAATCATAATTTCTTCATTACAGAGAGGTAGAAAAAATAAAGATTTTGGTTATCACAGAAAAGCAATATAACATAATAAGAAAAAGAGAAAAGACATTAGGATCATGTCACCCATTATCTCATAACAGAGACTCTGACAGCTATAGTTTTCATGGTATCCCAAAGTACCATTTGATTGTCAAGAAAAAAACTCCAGTATAAAAATTACACCCAATTACTATAAAAATTGATTAAGATGACAGGTTATTCTGAGACTTTTCTACCACATAAATCCTTATATGTTTCTTGGTTTACATTAGTTGCAGCATTTCTAAAAACTAATATAAATGAAATACATACCTATAAATGGAAAATTTTTAATGAGATTTTAAAAGCAACTGATTATAATACAATAATATGGATATGCTATATTCTCTATGTGCAATATTAAATGCTAAATTAGCAAACTTACCCATATATATATTAGAAGTTTCACAAAATAGTAAACTAATTAAAAATCGTGTAAATTCCTTAATTGTAGCTTCATTAGATGAGCTTTGCACTAGACTTTTTTAAATAAATGGATTATATCATGAAAGTCATATTCCCTTGACTTTACTCATCCTCACCATGCTGTACACATGCTAGCATTCCACTGACATTAATATTCATTTAGTTAACAAGAATTGCAAGAGATGAGAATAAGTCTATTTAAACAAATCAGAGTGAATGCAGAATGTAATAATGTCTTCTGTCCCAGAATTCTCTCTCCCCTTCCTCTGCCACCCCCAAACATTTTAGCACGTAATTTGGATTTTGCAGTAAGGACGATAAATAAATGATTTTCTTCCATTTCAGTTTATACATGAGATCTTTGATGTCATACCTTTCACCTCCAGTTTGCATTCGATCTCCACTGTCCCAAGGTCATTGACAGCTTTGCAGCAGTAAGTGCCTCCATCATAGGGGCTAGGCTTGCGAATCTCCAGAGTACAGACCCCTTGGTTGCTGAACATCCTGTATCTTGGGTCATCCACAATAGCAACTTTGTTTTTCATCCAGGTTATTTTGGGCTGAAGTTAAGATTGAAGAAAATAAGTCAAAATATATCAGTAATTAGCATAATAAATAATAGACCATTAAAGCCAGTGACCAAATTTTAAAGCATGGCTTAGAAAGAAAGTATATCTGAGAAGAATCCACATCTACTTGAGCACTGTTCCTTTCAAATTAAATTCTACATGGTGCTTGGCAAGAAAACAAATGGGCAGGTCGGAAGCAAGCCAGACTTGTTCAGAAGACAGCTCTGGGGCTCTCTTCCCAAATGAATTCAGATGCATTCTAATTTGATCTACAGGTTCCTGATGTCAACTTACCCTGGAGAGTGTATGTTGCTGGGCATTTTTCAGAGAATCCTCATAAGGTGTCACAACTATCTGATTTTCCCCACTTCCTTTTCCTGACATTCTTTTCTAATTCTTTAGGGGCTGCTTATGCCTCCTCACCATTTCATCTCTCCTCAAAGAGCTCTATTCATCTAGTGGAATGGGTCCACTTCAGATAATGCAAGATCGGTAATGACCAGTCACCCAGGAAGCTGACTCTATTCTCCTTGGCCTCTGAATTACATTCGATCACCCTTGACCCTCCCCTGCCTTCCCATATTCTCTTCTCCCTTTGGTAAATGTACACTCTCCATATTCTCTCTTCTGCCTCTTATATGCTTTTGCCTTGCTCAGACTCTAGAGACTTTCTTTTCTGTCTCCTTCATACCATCATCTTCCTCCCTCCATCCTTCTTCGCCCTTTCAAATGGGAGCATTCACTGAGGCTTACCCCTTGGACTTTGGCTTTTTGATTACTAGTCTCTTTCCTCAATGATATTCCTTTCTATAGTTTCGGCTCCAAGAGATGGAATACAGCACCCCCATGCCTAGGATGAGTCACAGCTCTGGCCTTTCTCTTAAGCTCTGGTGACCTCTCCTCTCCCTCCTGGTCATTCCTGCTTGTATCGACATCACTTCCAACTAAAGATGAATTCAGGATCTTCCTCTCATTCTCAGTGTAACTTCTCCCTTGACTCGTCTATTCCTGCTGATGGTATATGCAGGAATCATACCACTTTGCAATGTCTCCAAATTCTAGGGCACTTTTCCCACAGTGCCACCAGGAAAAAAAATATCTCTATGGGAAACATTCATTAATTCGTTGCTCTTTTCAAATGCCATCAAGAAACCTTAAAACCTTTCTAAATCTCTTCAATCAGATATGATTTCTTCCTTCCTAGGACAGCACATTTTATATTCTGCCTTGCATTACAGTATCATCATTTGCTTTAATCTATTTTAGAAAATTTGATGAATCAATATTACCACCAGATTTTTCAGGTGAAACAATATTACTTCCATCTCCTTACCTCTCAGTATTTTTTAAAATGGGTGTTTTGGGTTTTCCTAAATAGTCATCTTTTATTTAGTAAAGAAATATAAGCATTTTTTTACTACTGTATTTAAATAGTGGACCTAATTATCCACCAACACCACAATGCTGCACTCTCCTCCCTATCCCAGAAAAAGATACAATAGCACAACTTATATTGTTATTTGCAATTATAATGTGTCTAACATAAAACAAAAAGGGGATTTGGGGGCACCTGGGTGGCTCAGTCAGTTAAGCATCCGACTTCAGCTCAGGTCATGATCTCACGGTTTGTGGGTTTGAGCCCCGCATCAGGCTCTGTGCTGACAGCTCAGAACCTGGAGCCTGCTTTGGATTCTGTGTCTCCCTCTCTCTCTGCCCCTCTCCCGTTCATGCTCGGTCTCTCAAAAATAAATAAAAATGTTAAAAAAAATTTTAAAACAAAGGGGAATTTGGGACTAATTCTTAAATTTAACTAATGTGATTGAAAAAATGGTACCTTAGGATTTCCTCTCACACTGCAGTTCAGGGTGGCATTGTAACCAGCCACAGCATAGGTGTTAACCAAAGGCTGAGTAAACATGGGTGCCTCCGTGAAATCAAAATCTTCATACACTGGATTTTTGTAGATTTTACCTTAAAAACAAGCATTAGAAAAACACAAATTGGCCTGAGAATATGTCATTCTTGGCATACTTTATTCATGGTTAAAACTCCCCTGAGCTTATAAAAACATGTAAAAATATGGGTGAATTCCACACAACATTCATTCTGAAGTGTACAAACGGACAATCGCACTGGGACACAAAGTCAGTACGGCCATCTGAGACTGAAAGAAATACTGAGAAGAATCTGGTATCTGAATATTTTGATCAACAGTATATTTTAATGTAAAGGCAATGAGCAATGAGGACTTTAAGGACAGTGGTTTATGAGGAAATGAAATTCCTATCTCTGATTTTAGCCATCCAGACCCACAGCCCAGAAGTTGGAAAGAAGTCAGAAAGTTTATATTTTTTAAAAAATGCAATATTAAAAATAAAAACAAGGGGCACCCTGGGTTGTTCAATCAGTTAAGCCTCTGATTCTTGATTTTAGTTTAGGTCATAATCTCAGTTTGTGAGATTGAGCCCCACGTTGGGCACTGTGCTGACAGAGTGGAGACTGCTTGGGATGCCCTCTCTCCCTCTCTCTGCCCACCCCCTCTCAAAATACATAAATAAACAGTTAAAAAATAAATAAAAATAAAAATTTTTACTGGTAAAATCAACATTTTAGTCAAACATTTTTACCACAATTTAAAAATATGTGTTTATCAGTTTCTGAATTCCCTTTCACCACATCTCTATAGCCAGTCTTCTTGAGAACATCTAGTCATTGAAAACTGGGGTTTCCAGATGTCCAGTTGTAATATTGTGATTTATAATAAGAAATACATTAAAACCTTGGTTTGCAAGCATAATTCATTCCGGAAACATGCTTGTAATCCAAAGCACTGGTATATCAAAGTGAATTTCAGGAAACATTGGCTTAGTTATGATCACGTGATGACCGGCATCACATACTACTAGCACTGCAAGACAACTCGTTTATCTCATAAAAATACATTAGAAATGTTCGTGTCTTGCGGAACACTCGCAATCCAAGACTTCACTGTAAATATTTGGTCTTCTGGCCCCATTTCTGTCACAGAGCTCCTAAAACCCTTGAAATTTCCTAAGGGAGGAAAGTTATAAAAGGGTCTTTTGTTAAATTAATGAGGTGACCTTTGGACTGAAGGATGGGGACTTGTTGCCAGCTGTGATTAGTGGTTTCAAACTTTCAGTCCCATCCCCAGACCTCCAGGGAAGGGAGAGGGGCTGGAGATTGGATTTAATCCTGGTAGGGAAGCCTCTATAAAACAAAACAAAACAAAACAAAACAAAACAAAACAAAACAAAACAAAACAAAACCAAAAGGAAACCCCTCACACCCCCACATACTGGAATTGAGTCCAGAACCTCCTTATATGAGTCCACTGCTAACTCACCATCCTTGGCGATCACAGCACTCTCCTTAGTCATTGTTGCATCCTCACTGAGGCCACACATGTTCTCAGCAAAGACCCGGAAATAATATTCATTTCCTATGACCAGTTCAGTAATGGTAGCATTGGTTCGGTGGTAATGCTCAATGACAGTGAACCATTCCTAAAGGAAAAAAAAAATTTTTTTTTGAGAAAAATCATCTAAAAACACACAACTATTCCAACTGTTGATTAGAATAAACAGTGGGGATGTTTTATTAACTATGAGAAAAATAGCACTGATTTTTATATTGAGAGTACTAACAACGTACATTTAATTTGTTTAACATTTTATAATATACTTATACTTGATTATGTATAATTTAATATTTTTTTAAATCTTTATTTATTTTTTTTTTTGAGAGAGAGAGAGAGAGAGAGAGAGAGAGCGTGAGTCAGGGAAGTGCAGCAAGAGAGGGAGACAGAGAATCCCAAGCAGGTTCCACACTATCAGCACAGAGCCCGATGAGGGACCTTGAACTCACGAACCATGAGATCATGACCTGAGCTGAAAGCAAGAGTCAGATGTTTAACCGACTGAGCCACCTAGGCACCCCTATAGTTTAATCTTCATTTACACATTAGATTCATATACCCTAGATGTCAACTCCTACCTTTATATTTTCTTCCTAAGTGTACAGTGTCTGTCACCTATCTTTTGTATAACAACATCTGATTTTAGAATTTTAGTGTAAACAGGGGCGCCTGGGTGGCTCAGTCAGTTAAGCATCCAACTTTGGCTCAGGTCACGATCTTGCGGTTTGTGAGTTCGAGCCCTAAATCAGGCTGTCTGCTGTCAGTGCAGAGCCCAATTTGGATTCTCTGGCCCCCTCTCTCTCTGCCACTCCCCCGCTCTCTCTTTCTCTCAAGAATAAATTTGAAAAAAAACATTAAAAAGGGATTTTTGTGCAAACATCTATTCTGAAGAAGAGATGATGCTAAATCACTAGAGAAAAATTAATATCACCCAATAAGTTTGCCTAATATTAAAGTAGGTTCTTCTGGGTCTTTGCTCAGATATTAAACCTCTTCCCTGACTGTTCACCCTCCCACCATTCTGTGCTGGTGATACTCTTTCACCTTAACCTGGCTAAGTTTTCTTTGCAGCACTTGCTACCTTAAATGACATTATATATTTACTGTTTTACTTGTTTCCTGTCTACCTCCTCCACTGAAATGGACACAGCACGATGAGAAGAAAACACAACTTTTCTTCTTATCCCTGTATCTCCAGTGCCTATTATAATACCTGGCACATAGTAGGTACTATGCACAAAATAAATGTTTATTGACTACCCGAATGAATGAATGAATGAATGAGAAGCTAAAACAAGTAATTTTCTTTTCAATTTTTCCTCACCATACCAAGAAATATAGTGGTCTCAAAGTTTATCTTGCAACCAGTAGAGAACCACAGATGTTTAGTACCACTAATTGAGAAAATACATTTTTTAGATGTTTTTAAATTTTATTTTTATTTATATTGAGAGAGAGAAAGAGAAAGAGAGAGAGAGAGAGAGCATGGGGGAAGGGCAGAGAGAGAGGAGAGAATCACCAGCAGGTTCCGCCCTTCCGCCCTGTCAGAGCCGGACTTGGGGTTGAACACATGAATCATGAGATCATGACCTAAGCTGAAATCAAGAGTTGGACGCTTAACCAGCTGAGCCACATGCTTTCAGGTGCCCCAAGAAAATACATTTTCTGATAAAAAGTGCATAAAGGAAAAGGATTTTTCTTAGAATTTTTAGGGGCCATCATTATCTCAGTATTTTAGATATATATTTTTTAAGTAGGCTCCATGCCCAGAGTAAGAGCCCAACACAAAGTGGCTTGAACTCACATCCTTGAGATCAAGACCTGAGATGAGATCAGGTATTGGACACTTAACTGACTGAGCCACCCGGGTGGTCCATATTTTGAATATTTTTAGGACACCAGGCAAATGTAGTTATGACTTCCTTTATTCCCAGAGCACTTTATTCCAAAATTTATTCCAGCATTTATTGTATTGCTTTGTCATTTGGTTTTATGATGTTTTTCTTCTTGCCTAGATTGTGAGTGCTCCTTTTTTTCCCCCCGATCCAGTAGCTAGAACAGTGCTCAACATAAGTGAAGAATAAATTAATGTGTTGGCACACATAATGAAAAAAATGTCTATGAAGTTATGAATGACAACAGGAATTTAAGTGAAGAGTAGCATCTGTAGCCACAATGAGACAATGGTGTGGTATCTCCTGGGAATTACACTGGACAGACAGAAACACAGGGGTGCAGAGGTTGGGGATCAGTCTCTGTCACCAGTTAGAACTCAGTCAACAGTGAGAAAGTCCATCCAGGTTCACCTGGACTTGACTGGCTATCCAAGAAGACAAGTTCTTACTGACATCTACTAGTGTAAATGCCTGAAGACTTCCTGTCAATATCATTAAGTATGATATTTCACTCTTCCTATGAGAAAGAAGAGGGGCTCGATGCCATTGTGTGCCCAAATATTCATTTATTCATTCATTCACATACAGGTAGGGCAGTAGTACGGTGTAGAGGATGGATTCTGATGCAGGAGCACCTAGACTTTAACATTTAAAATGGTGATCTCGAGCAAGTCATTTATCCTTTCTGAGCCTCAGTTTCCTCATCTATTAAATACAGGTAATAATAAATCGTACTCTGACTAGGTTGCCTCTTGAACACACTAATAAGCTCCTTCCCTCTTCAGGAACTTTGCACTTGCTGTTCTCTTCAGAATCTTTCTTTTCTAACTGGTCTCTTTCTATACATGTTATCCAACATTTATTTTACAAGGAGAAAGAGTTGCATGGATATAAATCTGAGTCAGAATCCAGAGTGACTAAATATTTGTTGAACAAATGAATGTATTGAATTCCATTGAGCACTATGTCAGCTGCTTCATACTGTTTTAGCCTCATGATAACCAAGCAAAGTAAATATTCATGTCCTTAAGAGGACCTCATGCCCTGCCCCCCTTTACTTTTGATGAAATGCGATTTTGCTGCTGCTAAACCAGAGATGGCCAGACCTTACCATGCTCTTCTTATCAGCTTTCTGGATCGTGTACCCTGTGATGGCTGCATTTCCATCATCCTTTGGTGGTATCCATGATAGAGCAACATTCTCTCCCCAGACATCCTCAATCTTCACCAGTTGAGGTGGACCTGGACGGTCTAGAGGACGAATTCATGACATCATTATGAGGTCATTTTCCCTCCCAACATATGCAGTGGTCCCCCACCTTAATGGCTGTTTTGCTTTCAGAGGTTTCCATTACCCCAGGCAACCAAGATCCGGAAGCAGATGCTCCTCCTTCTGATATAGTGTCAGAAAGTCAGTGGTAACCTAATGCTATGTCACAACGCCTGCATCATTCACCTTACTTCATGTCATCATGTAGGCATTTTATCATCTCACATCATCAGAAGAAGGGTGAGTACAGTACAGTGAGATATTTTGTGAGAGAGATTAACTTTTATTACGGTACATGGTTGTACTTGTTCTGTTTTATTGTTAGTTACTTTTGTTAATCTCTTACTGTGCCTAATTTATAAATTGAATTTTATCATAGGTATGTACGTATAGGACAAAACAGCATATATAGGGTTTGGTACTACTCACAGTTTCAGACGTCTGGGAACCTGTCTCCATCAATAAACAGGACTGCTGTACTTCATTGTAGGAAGATATTTTAAAATGCCCTTCCTTCCCTGCATTTCTACCCACATTTCTTTCACCATTCTTAAACTTTAGGAGAGTGGAATGCACTCCAGCTAAGCTCATCTGGAAACTCTTGACTTTTATCTTCATGGAAAGACAAGGATTTTGAAAGGAAAATTTAAATGAAATTTCAAACCTCATCAACCTTCACTCCAAGAGCAGGCTACTGGCAATGAATCACAAGGCTACACTGCCTAATGGGAAATGTAAGCTGACCCTGGGCTCCAAATCTTAGAGCCCATCTGGGCCAAGCAGCTCTGGCTTTTGGTGCGCGGCATGGAGGCCACAGCCTGTGAGTGGGTTCCTCTGCTGTACCCAAAAGGTGCCTTTAACGTGCATGAATAAAACTTATTTTATCTCTCTGCCAATGTTAAATTTGGAACCAATAAAATAACTAGAATAATAATCATTATTTATTGAACACTTTGAGTGTGCAAGCAATGTCCTGGGCACTTAGAACTACCTGTTAAAGTAACTACATGGCAAAGTGGAAAAGAGAAGTCCTTCTGTGTGTTTCAGAGGGAAGGTGCTCTTCCAGACCTGGAGGCTCCCATTAGAGTGGGGCTTCCATGGGGGTTCCCATTAGAATGGAGCCCAGCCAGATCCAAGGGCACAGGGTAGCCTCAGCACTCCCCTCAACTTAACAGAAATCAAGAACGGTTAGCCAGTAGGAAGACAGTACTTAGCTTAAAGGGCATGAAATTTCAGCCAACAGGAAGTTTCTCCTTTAGTGAGAAACTCCTAGTTTCAGCAAATTTGCTGAAATATAATAATAAAAATGACTGGACTGGAAACAAGGCTTCTGTAGCTATGCTCTTAGATGCATTTCTTCGCATTGCAAAAATTACAGAACAGTTCAAGTGAGAGGGGCCTATCTGTGAGAGATCCTCCCTCTATTACCCTAACTCTGGACAGAAGTAAGAGCTACACTTATTTATTCATTTATTTGGACAGGAGAGTGAGTATCTAGCCCTGTAGGAATAACCAATTAGGTGTTTAACTATTTAGGTACATCTTCCTTACATTTGAAAAAACTCTTCCCTCTCCATTAAAACTGTATTAGTTGAAAAATTTAGGTGTGGTAAGAAACATGTTAAACTATGTTTAGAATCTGCTTTGTTTTTTATGCCAGAATTCAAAACAGGAAATAGTTTCATCATCAAGGACTTGAGAAACAGAATAAGAGAGAACTGGATTATGAAGCGGTACAGATGGTTTGCACTAAAAAGTACATATATTAATTTTCTTTAACATATATGCCCTAAGTCTCCATGATTAGTTTTTCTAGTAAGAAAAAAGGTATTTTGAAATACACATTTACCAATGTAATTTTAATTCTAAAAAAAGAATTTTATGGAAAGCCATTCTAACACAAATTCTTACTCTTGCCTTAATGACAAGGACAATTAGTACAAATACTGCTTTGATAGAACATTCTTCCAAACCTACCAACGATCTGGATATCGATTGAAGCCGTTTCCACAAATTTTTCCACTTTGACTTGCAGATCATATTTCCCAGAGTGGCTCCTTTCTGCTTTTCTGATAAATATGATTGTATCAGTCTCAGAGTTGCGAATGTTTATTTGATTCTTATCAATTTCTGCACCATCTTTCTTCCAAGTTAATTCTGGCCTTGGTTTTCCCTAAAGAGAAAGACAGGAAAAAGTAGAGGGGGAGGGAAAACAGATGGTTTCAAGATTTTTTTTTCAGTGTTACAAAAAATGACAGTTGCTGATCCCATTTTCGGCAAGGTTGGAGACAGCCTGGTGGTCAGCGACTATGGCAGAAACAGTAATACTCGCATTGCCTGTTGGTTGCATTCTGTGTGCAAGGCACTACATTAGATACATGAGGTTTACTATTTCCTTTCATCTTCCCATCAAGATAATAAATGTCATTATCCTCACTTTTTGGATAAAGGAATTAAGTGACTTGCCTAAGGCCTTGTGACTTAAGTGCTGGAACCAGGTCTTACCGCCAGGTCTCTCTAGCTCCAAAGCCTGTATAACATAGCATAATGGTTAAGAACATGGGCCCTGGAATCTGTATTTGGATGCTGACTCTACCTCTTAATAGCTGTGTGACCTTGGGCAAGTTATTTAAACTCTCTCTGCCTCAATTTCCCAAACTGTAAAATGAGAACAATGATAGTACCTATCTCACAGAATAGTTATAAAGACTGAAGTACTTTTAGTATTATTTTTTTCCAATTTCTTTTTTAATGTTTATTTGTTTTTGACAGAGAGAAAGCACAAGCAAGGGAGGTGCAGAGAAAGGGAGACACAGAATCTGAAGCAGCCTCCAGGCTCTGAGCTGTCAGCACAGAGCCTGATGCGGGGCTTGAACTCACGACCTGAGAGATCATGACCTGAGCCCAACCAAGTTGGACGCTTAACTGACTGAGCCACCCAGGTGCCCCAAGACTGAAGTTCCTAAAGCTTCTGCACACTACATACGTGCTTTATTATTATCTAAATGTACATGATATTATTTCCACAGCATCGTACCACTCATTTCAGACTTGTCTACAATTCTCTCTCTGCTCTTTCTAGCTGCCGAAACTATGCTTTAACAGAAAGTTTTGGGGGATTATAATCTAATTCAAGAATACATGTTTTGGTTTATATTACAAAGGAACTTCCTAGGATTTCCAAAGACCCAGGCTCACCCTGCAGACAGGAGTCGAAGATTAATTCAGTCAGGTAAGGCATAGCCTTCCTTTGGGCTCCTAACATGGCTTGTTGATAGGTTATGATAAAAAATGTGAGAGACCCACATCAAACCCCTGCCTACAGAGCTTGAAGAATGGTCGGGGTGCTTAGACTTACACGTGGGAAGTGGAGAACAATACTGTTAAAGATAAGGAAAAACAGTTCCAGGTTTCACTTCTGTAAATGTACAATTTGCTTTCACTACTGGAGAAACAAAAACCAGAGTTTTCCGATAATATATGCAGTGGAAAAAAAAAAAAGGCACTGGAGGAAGTGTCCACAGACATGGACTCTGCTCTTGAAAGTGCCATTTACTTGTGTGACCTTGGGCAAGTCACCTAACTTCTCTGAACATCAGTTTCTTCTCCTGTCAAGTGGTGGTAAGGAAATCTGCCCTTCTTGCCTCACAAGGTATTTCTTAGGATCAAACTAGATGTTCATGAGAACTCTTGAGGTTCCGCAAATAGATGAACATGACACAATGGTCTCATTGCCCCCTTCCTGGCAGCTGAGCAGCCTCTGGGATGCCATACCTGTGAGGTCCCTGTTCTCATGGTCTTTCCTCCCCCCAGACCCAGTCAGAAGTTAGACATACAGACTCCCAAGATGTGGGAATTGGGATTAGCATTAGCAGTAGACATGGTACAAAAACTGGAGATTTTGCAGCCCAGATTCAGCAGCCCCACTCCAGCCCACGTGCCTGCCTAGTGCCAACTCCTGGTTTTATTTGAGGCTGTGTGGGGAGAGAAGTGGGAGGAACCTCGTCAAGCCACCTCCTTCCTCCCCTGCCCTGTTTATACTCATGTCCTCCTTGGCTTTCGTTTTGATTTCACACACTTTATGTAGAAGGTAATCACTTCTTCGAGCTGCAGGCCCCAGGTGCTGGTGCTGGAACTGGCTGTCTTTTAGCTTGCTTGTCATGGGAGCCCGGGTCTGAATGAGCTGTGTGTGTGTTCAAATGTGTGCAGAGACCTAAATTCTAATTCTAAAGTCTTGCTGTCTGATGTAACAACTACAAGGCTGTTTAAACTAAAGCAAATTAAAATTAAGGAAAACTAAAAATTAATCTTCCCAGTTGCACTGGTTCCAAGTTTCACATTTCAAGTGTTCAATGGCCACATTTGGCTCGTGGCTACAATATTGGACATTGAACCTGTGAAATATTTCCACCATCACAGAAAGTTCCATTGAATAGTGCTGTCTAGGGGTCTAAAAGGAGTCAGACAAGTAATGGGGTGGTGGTACAGTGTGTGTGTGTGTGTGTGTGTGTGTGTGTGTGTGTGTGTGTGTTTATGAGACCAAAACTGATTATTATAGGTGAGGCTTGGTCAATCTTGTAAACAATAGAATCTTTTGCTGGAGCCATGATTTAACAGTGTTTGCATCTTTCAGTTAGTGGCATCAAGATTTCAACATTCAGTTATCCCTCTTCCTTTGGTTTCGGGTAATCATGGGAGGTAAGCACATGATGTTTTCCTGAATATTACTCCAAGAGCTTCACTTAAAATGAAGACTAGTTTTATGGATATATAGGACCAGAAAGAATCTTCAAGCATTTCTTGTTTTGGTATCTCCTTGGTGTTTCCTCTCTGCCCCACTGTAGTCCCTGTCTTCAGACCAGTCCAAGCTAGGTGTCATTTATCTCATGCAGAATGAAAATCTATCAGTTTGATAGATTTCTCAACAAGCACGAGATTGTTTAATCACTCCCCAGATCTCTTGCATTATTTATCTACTTTTCCTCTGAGGAAGTCCTGGGTCATGATGAATTTAAGTGCTAGAGTACCTGTCTCTACTTCTTAAACACCCCAGCACTGGAAAGAGAAAATAAGTGCCCCTGAATTATTACCTGGAAAGGTATAACCAGATTGACAGCTTCTCCAACTCTGCGGATATAGGTTTGCTTCAGGTGCCTTGGGATGCGAATCTTCGGAGGCTCTGAGTGAGGGCAGAACAGCATAATTTTGCGATCAGTAGAGTACACTGGAAATAGGCTTACATAAGCATGCTGGCATGAGAGTCACTGGGATATTCTTGTGCTGATGTCTCTACAGTAAAATCTTAGATGTGCCATTAAAAGATTATGTATGGTAATTTTAGTTCTAAATGCTTTCTTCAAGCAGAGATATTTTCACAGTCTGACTCAACAGAACTTACCCTTGACATCCTTGATTTTATAGCAACTTCCTATTTTTACAGTCATTATAAGCCTAAAACAACTTTATAGAAAAACACCAAGTTTTCTCTTAGGATTTTATATATATTTTTCAGTTTCTGACAGCAAATGCGTCCTGCAATGAACATTCCACAAAAGATCCATAGGCACCACATTAGCTGATAGGAGTGCCCACCTTTTCTCACCAGAAAAAAACAAAACAAAGTTTTAGTACCTAGAACTTGTTATTTAGGTAGTTCTGTTGGAATTGAATAGTAACTTTCTCCTCATGTGGCTACGAGGTACATAATAGGTGGCCCTAGCCCACTATGTATTAATGTTCATTAATTAAACACCATAAAGATACTAGAGCATGTTGTTGCAAACCCATCAGAAGCAGGAAGTCAAAGGCTCATAGGTTCACAGGGATGAGACAGGTGCCAGCACTTGAGGGCTTAGTATGTGGCAGACACTGGACTAAACACTTTTGATGAAGGGACTAATTTAAACCTCAAGGCCACCTTGTAGGATAGGTACTGTTTTACTTTATGATAAAGAAACAGGAGGATAGGAGGTTGAGTAATGTGCCCTTGGTGACACAGCCAGGATTAGAACCTGGAGTTAGCCTTGGGACACCTGGGTGGGTGGCTCAGTCGATTAAGCATCTGACTCTTGATTTTGGCTCAGGTCATGATCTCACAGTTCGAGAGTTTGAGTCCTGCAGTGGGTGAGCTCGAGCCTTACTTCAGGTGAACTCAAGCCCCACTTCAGGTGAACATGAACCCCGCTTTGGGTGAGCCATGCTGCTCTCCCTCTCTCTCTCTCTCTCTCTGCCTCTTGCTCACTTGTGTCCTCTCTCTCAAAAAAAAAAAAAAAAAAAAAAAAAAAAAAGAACCTGGAGTCAGGCTTAAGTCCTATGCTCTACTTAGAAGCATGAACTTCTGAGTTAGAGATCTGAGTTTGAGTCCTGGATCTGATACATGGTAGTTCTGGTTTCAGACACCTGTTCCATAAAATCAGGATGATGAAAGCACCTAATTTGTACAATAGTTGTGAGGATTAATGGTTGAGAATAGTAGGTGTTCAATAAATTTGAGGAGATGATGATGATGATGATGATGATGATGATGGTTACTGATTGTTGGGATTGGAAGAGAATTTGGAGATCGTGTAACTCCCTAACTTTACATATAAGGAAAAGGAGACTCAGCCAGATTCTGTAGTAAACTAAACCATCATCATAATAAAAGCTAACACATATTGAGAGCTTATTATGTGGCAAACACTCTGTAAAGCAGCAACATGGATCAATATATTTAATTCTGATAGCCTCTTGATGTGTCAAGTACTATTATTAAAATTTTTTTTTCAAAGTTTATTTATTTTTGAGACAGAGACAGAGTGTGAGCAGGGGAGGAGCAGAGAGAGAGAGGATGACACAGAATCCAAAGCAGGCTCCAGAGCCTGACATGGGGCTCAAATTCATGAACTGTGAGATTGTTATCTGAGCCGAACTCAGACACTTAACTGACCAAGCCACCCAGGCACTCTTGTCAAATACTATTATTATCTCCATTTTGCAGATGAACAAATTAAGGCTCAGGAAGATCAAGCCTCTTATCTGAGGTCACTAGCTAATAAATGATGGAAACAGGATTCAACTTAAAAAGATTGGCTTCTGAATCTACTAAGAAAATGTATACTCTTCATGCTTTTTTTTAGAAAAATTTTTTAATGTTTATTTTTAAGAGATGGACAGAGAGACAGAGTATGAGTGAGAGAAGGGCAGAGAGAAGGAGACATGGAATCCAAAGCAGACTTCAGGCTCTGAGCTGTCAGCACAGAGCCCGATACGGGGCTTGAACCATGAAATTGTGACCTGAGCCAAAGTCGGACGCTTAACCGACTGAGCCATCCAGACGCCCCACTCTTCATGCTTTCTTGCATCCATCCATCCATCCATCCATCCATCCATCCATCCATCCATCCTGTAACTCACTCCCAATTGTCTGTGGCAGACATGGTCTAGAACTTAGATATCCAGGCCCCCAGTCCAGTGTTCTTTCCCCTGGAACAGGAACTCTCAAATGATTTGGTCTCAGTTTTCTAACATACTCTTAAAAATTATCAAGGACCCGGGGTGCCTGGGTGGCTCAGTCGGTTGAGCGTCTGACTTCGGCTCAGGTCATGATCTTCCAGGATTCAGGTGGGGTTCAAGCCTCCGTGGGCTCTGTGCTACAGCTTCAGGGCCTGGAGCTATTTCAATTCTGTGTCTCCCTCTCTCTCTCTGACCCTCCCCCGTTCATGCTCTCTCTGTCTCAAAAATAAATAAACGTCAAAAAAAAAAATTTAGAAAAAAAAAAAATTATCAAGGACCCTTCCCAAAAAAGCAATTTCTCAGCTTCTGCTTATGTGGGTTTATCAATATTTACCATATTAGAAATTAAAACTGAACTTTTCAAATATCTAGTTATTAATTTAAAGATAACAACATAAGTGACGTTTTAATGGAATTATTTTATATTTTAGCAAATCTATTTAATGTCTGACTTAATAGAGGATATCTGGAGTCTCCTATTTGTTTCTGTTTTCAGTCTGTTGTTGTAATGTGTTGTATTGGCTGAAGTCATTTAAATGAAGAAAATCTGGCTTTGCACAGACAGGAGATATATTTTAATAAACTTTTCAGACAATTATGGATATTCCTTTTTGATCCTACACTAAAACATGATAAATTGTGATTTCTTAAAGGTGAGCTGCAGCGTGGAATCTGAAGCCACTTCAATTAATTTTTCATACTCTGTTACATTAAAATCCACTAATCTATCTTACATTTTTTTTAAATTTTTTTTTAACGTTTATTTATTTTTGAGACAGAGAGAGACAGAGCATGAACAGGGGAGGGTCAGAGAGAGAGGGAGACAACAGAATCCGAAACAGGCTCCAGGCTCTGAGCGGTCAGCGCACAGCCCGACGCGGGGCTCGAACTCACGGACCGCGAGATCATGACCTGAGCCGAAGTCGGACGTCTAACCGACCAAGCCACCCAGGCGCCCCTCTATCTTACATTTTTAATGTAAATCTTACCCATGCATATTTTTAATGGAAAACATCACTTCACCACATTACGTAGATCTTCTAAATGTTGACATATTCCCTTATTCAATATAAAAACTACATTTGTTAATATCACCGCCTATTTCATGAGAAAAAATTTTTTTTCATGAGAAAAGTTTTTAAGTGTTGAGGGCTGTCAAGTCCATGGCGATGGATAGGAGTTTCCCAAAATTCCAATTTTTGCTTCAAAGTTCACATTTTTTCATTGAAAGGCTGACAACAAAAACTCTAAGTTGCTTTCTTCACAGTGACAGGCTCATTCCATTTGTTTTCTTAAAAATGCCTGCCAAGTGGCCATTTTTTCAAGTAAAATGGAACTGTGTGAGAAAAGTCACTAGTTCAGCCTCTGGCTCAGTTGTACCAGCCCTCTTTCTACAGACAACCACTGTGCTATAGCACGCAGTGTGAGGTCTTTATATATACTTTGCATTTCACTGCCACATAGAGGTAGGAAAAATGTGTACTCTAGGACCAAGGTTTAATAAATGGATAATTTTTATGCTTCAGCAAGAACATGCCAAGGCAAAGCCGGCCGTCTGATTTTAACTCCAAGTGCAAGGTGGTGAGGAAGACGGAAAGAACTAGTCTGGTTCCGTGGCTCTGACTTGACCTGTGCTGAGGCACCTGTGGTTTTACTCGCCATTGCTTTTGCACCGTCAGGGCGGAGGTCAGACGCTGAAAAGGGCAAATAATGCGTTCATCTCACCATGAAGACGGCTCTGGCCTCGCAGACCCACTGGTGCCACGTTGCTGAAGTTGGCACCGCTGCATTCACGCTCCCTCCGTGGGAACAGGCAGCCCCGCCAGAGCCGGCTCAGAGCCTGGGGAGGTTAGCTAGCTGGTCCTCATTCCAAGTTACAGACTCTGAGCTGACCTCCACACTGGTAAATAAGAGCTGTTTTGTTCATTTCTAACTCCCAGGAGGCATTTACAATACATCACAGGAGGGACAGCAAAATAGGAGGTTTTGAGAAAGAAAGGGGTTAAAAAGCAAAATCAAATAACATGAAATGGAGACAAAATTTTGAAAGCCTTGCCACTTACCTATGATTTCCTTCACCAGGATGGGCTGGGAGTAGTATTTGGGCTCGCTGGCGCCCGCAGCGTTCACAGCCTTCACGCGAACAAAGATCTTTGCATCTGTAGGCAGACCTGTGATGGTGAACTTGGTCTTATCGATCAGATCTGTGTTTGCAACTATCCAATCCTCGGCTAAAATTCATAAAAGAAAAGGACAAGAAGGAGAAATGGTGTTTAGTGAAAAAAAATCATCCTAACTGGTACGGTCGACTCCAAACTAGTATTTTACTTACAATTAAGTCAGTTGGAGGAAATATGATTTTGGTATGGACTCACATTACATGGGTAGGCATTTTTCATATTTAAATGAAAATGGCCTAGAATGGCTAATGTAAGTAACAGGAAGAAGGATAATCAGATTCTGCTATTTCTGAAAAACCTCTTATTCAGGATACTATGATACTAGAGTATCCTGAATTCTTGGGGACAGTCACTATGATTCAGGATACTGAGGTGATACTACAGCATCCTGAATCACAGTACCTATCCCCAAGAATTTTGTAGCAGTTTTATTCCAATTCAGTTTCATAAGGATTGACATACTCATGACATTTAGCCATCTACATATGTTAAAGTTCAGAAGAACAAGAAAATACTATTCTTACGAATGAGAGACACAAACCTTTATAGTTATATAATCTCCCTGTTTTATCTTGGTTGTTTTTTTCTTATGAGGCACTCATATGTGCATAGGGAGTCTGATAATGCTTCCATTTATGAATATAAGAAGCTAATATCCACGGCAGACAGGAAACACAGCCCTGGAGACAAGGCTTATAAGGTATTGGCATCATTCTTTCACTTCAATCAAAAATGATGATATTTTTAAAAGGTTTTGGTAGCTTTATCTATAACATCAAGAGAATTTGAACCCAGCATTCAAGGGTTGCAAATATTTCAACTTCTGAAAGTTTGCATGCATTATGCCCACAGGGTTGGTTGGGGGAGGCTTGGATCCCACATTATTAGCTCAATGCCTGCCCACCCCCTTGATCTCTAAGGACTTTTTCATGTGTGGGTGGTAGGTGTACTTCATGCTTGGTCATGGAACATTCCCAGAAACTGTATCATATAGTAAGAAAGTTTGAAAGCTTTCATAGAATACTTTACCTGGTAGGTCATATGCAGCCTCCCCATTTTCATCAGACTGTTTTGCTGATGTACCTTTGAGAATCCGTCATTAAAATTAATTAAAGACACCCACTTTCACACCAGAAGAATATCGTATCAGTAGTCAGCATTCTCTGTTAGTAAAGTATGCAAAGTATGCAAAGATATTTGTCTTCAGAGCAGTGACGGAAGAGACCAAACACATTGGGGTGGGGGGGGGTGGGTAGTTCCTCAGGAGATCCACAGCCTACTGTGTTCAGACTGTGGTTTTTGTCCTGAGGCATCTGCCACAGAGAAGAAGAGGAGACAAGAGGCTGGGCACCTCCAGCTGTGGGAACAAGAGGTAGAAAGGAACAAAGCAAGACCCTGAAGAGAAAGGAGGAGCGGGTCCCGGACTCCATAAGGGAGCAGCACACAGTGGAACAGTCTATCTTTTCACCTGTCCCTGCGACCCCAGCCAGGGAGGGTCCTCCCAGGCACCCAGGTAACACAGAACTCCTGCTATGGGGTTCAATCATCACAGTCTGGGAGTGAAGGCACTCAGGATAAAGCCAGCCCTGTCTTCCCAGGCAGCCTCTGGTTGCCATAACAACAAGTTCTGCAGTCAAGAAAACAAATTGAGCATGCCTGGGTCCCTGCGTTCCACATGACTGGAGGGAATGTTGCTGGCTCATGGGGTGGTTGTGGGCATACCCCCACTGGTTTGGGATGATGCCTTTTCACCTGTTATCAGGAGAAGAGCAGGGGAGTGGAACCCCTTGGAACCTTCTCCTCTCTCTTATCCCATCCCTTCTAGGAGTAACTGGGAAAAGGAGCAGGGAGCCAAAATATCCTGGTGGCTGCAAGGGCATGTGGATGATAAAAATTACTTAAGGACACTGAAAAAGAAATACCTCTTTAAGCCAATGGTCAGGTTGGGAGTCACTGTGCTGATATTTTCATAGTGAAGAGACAGTTGATGAGAAAGTGAAAATAGGAGACAGAAAACGTGCTTGGAATAGTGAAGAACTAGTAAAGGAGAAATTTCAAGAGAAGACAGGACGAAACAAGATCAGAGGGGAACAAAAATAGCCCATCCCTTCACGTTTGAACCACTTTAATTGAGGAAAACAGAGAAAGAAAACGGTGTCCAGGGGATGGGGAAGGAATACGAAAGTTGTTTGATACATGAGGAGAATTTTTAAGAACAAAAAGAAAGAGCTAGAGTGAAGGAAGAAAACAAAGAAGAGTAATGTGCTGCAGGCATTAAAAAAAACAAAAACAAGAGAAAGGCAGAGTCAAAACCAACACACGATCTTATAAAAGAAAGAATTCTCTTACAGAATAAAACCTGACATATCTAAAAGCATTAAACACTACAGAAAATTAGTCTGGAGGACAACAGCCATTAAAAAGAATGAAGAATAGGGCAGCCACATAAAGAAAGAAAAGACTGCGAGAAGAAAGATATACACGTTATGAAAGAACTTCCATAGAAAGCTAATTCCAAAACGTTATGTGGCAAAATATATACATAATAATGACTGTGTACATATACATATGTATATACCCGTATACATATGTATCTACACAGATCACACACAAAATTATGTAAAATACACTTCGTTGTATTTTATCTAAGGTGGGTAACATCAAAATGACAGGCATCTATCATTTTGCTGTATCTTCTTACTTTTTAAACCTAGCAGAAAGAAAAGAGTAAAGAATTTGCTCTGTTTCATACAAACACAAATGTTCGTGCTCAGCAGCCACATCACATGTAAGATGGGGAGATTTTGCTGGTGGGGTGATATAAATAACAGAGTGGAGTACTCATGAGTTTTTGAAATGGGAGAGGAATAGAATGGGAATAAACCATATTCTGAAGTGCTCAAGAATTTACCTTTTTGCATTAGTGACACTACCCCCCTCCTATGCTGGGATGCCTGGGAACTTTCTCATAATGCCCCTACTAGTTTTAGTTAGTGGCTTTCTAAGCCCTGGAGAAATGAAGCAGCGTGCTCTGTGAGCAGAGCACATGTCAATGGAACTGTTACCAGGATGCCTTGTCCCCCCGTCTCTTGTTCCCTCCCAACCAGCACCAATGGTGGTTTCCAGGGGTGCCCCAATCCAGGGGCCTGGGATTTCCTTTGCCGCAGTTTTCTCTCATAGGAAGTTTCTTCTCCAGAGGTTTTCCTTCTGGGAGGGTGCCTTTGTAGTCACATTCCTCATTTCCCAAATGTGCTCTGTAGTCTCCCTTTCCTTCAGATAAGATCCACATTAAAGTTTGGAGTCCAAAGAGCTTTCTCAGAGGCTAAATCTTGGCCTATCATTTGTGGTGATATGTACAAGCTTCCCCAGTGGGTTGTTTACTTACCTCATCTAGAGTGGAGCCTGAGTTCAAACTGGGACAGTTTTAGACATCCATTTTCAAATCATGACAAGCAGGATACCAAAAACACAACAGGCTTTCAGTGAATTTCACATCATTTTTGGTTTTAGGTACACTCTGGCCCATATTTTCTTGTGTCGTTTTCTCTTTGTCTATTATTTCTATCAACAAGTTTTTTAACTGTTTCTCTTCTCCTTCTAAATTTCAGTGATTACATTTTTATATACTGAGACAAATTCCTGTCACATGTCAAACCTATTGCTTACACCCTCTGGGATTTAATGCTGCCACTGAAAGTTGTTCTTAATTCTCTTCCTCCTCCTCCTCCTCCTCCTCCTCCCTCCTCCTCCTGCTTCTCCTTTTATCCTTCTTCTTCTTCTTCTTCTTCTTCTTCTTCTTCTTCTTCTTCTTCTTCTTCTCCTCCTCCTCCTCCTCCTCCTCCTCCTCCTCCTCCTTCTCCTCCTCCTCCTCCTCCTCCTTCTTCTCTTCTTCTTCTTCTTTAAGGCATGATCAGCAGCTAGCCAAATGTATAGTCTCCCTTTATTACCCAGAAGTAGGCAGCTTTTTTGATAGCAGACCTCTACTCTGTATAGGGTTTAGAATGTCCAACTTGCTTCATCTTAACTAGACTTTTATTTTTCTTGGTGCAATTTGACTCCACCAATTCAAGAAGTGGAAATCCCTGAAGTTTTGTCAGAATCCCTTCTTTCTATGTCTTAGATTTATCGTGGTGTCTAATCTGGCCGCCTATCTAGTATATTTTTGAGATCTCCATTTGTTAGCGTCAAGTACCAAAAAAGGGCTAAATTTTTATCCATCTTAGAAGGAAGACTTATGCTTGTTGTCATTTTTGGTAGGAAGGAGAAGAGTTCCCCAGAATGATAACAAAAGAAAGGGGGGAGTATCTCACCTATTGATGATGGTATTCATTTTAACTACGAGTTGTACTTACTTCCTTCAAAGCAATACTCTAGCACATAGCCATCTAAACCTGCTGCACCAATCTGGTCCGGGGGCCTCCACTTCATTGTGACAGTGGTGTCAGTTACAGAGTCAACGGCCAGAAGTGTAGGAGGGCTGGTTACAGCTTTAAAGATAAAAAACAAAAAAGAAAGAAAAGAAAGAAACAGAAGAAATGATTAACTATGGTGTTACAGCACAAGCTGTGATAAAAATTAACTAGGATGGGGCGCCTGGGTGGCTCAGTCGGTTGAGCGGCCGACCTCGGCTCAGGTCATGATCTCGCGGTCCGTGAGTTCGAGCCCCGCGTCGGGCTCTGTGCTGACAGCTCAGAGCCTGGAGCCTGTTTCAGATTCTGTGTCTCCCTCTCTCTGACCCTCCCCCCGTTCATGCTCTGTCTCTCTCTGTCTCAAAAATAAATAAACGTTAAAAAAAATTTTTTTTTAAAAATTAACTAGGATATAAATAAAAATATACAGAGAGGCCTATGTCTTAATAAAATTCAGTGAAGACTCCTTGAGGATATGCTGCGTGGAAGGTAAAGATCTGCTAGGCGTGGACAATTTCAGAAAAGCTGCCACACTTTCCCTCCAGTTTGGGAGGTTGGCATGAGAGGCTGGGAGGCCCAAGGAAGTTGAAAAAAGTCAGAGTTTGGGATCTAATGATCCAGAGTAAATTTCCCATAACCCTCTAATTTTAAAGTATAAATCCTGTACTGAATCTTCTTTCTATTGAAAAAAAAGTAGTACTTCACTACCATAAAAGAGGAAAACATCTTATCTTCTATTTCTTTGCCTTTACTGAGCTGACTTTGTTGGTTCATTAGATAACATTTAAGGTGTGATGGTAAAGCAAAGAGACTAGTTTTCAAGAGTGCTTTGTAGAAGTGGTCTCTGTTTAGTTATAGTGTTTACACATAGGTCCTGAATTATACCTTCAGAAGGACAAATGGGGAGTGGTCATGTGTCAATGGCTCAGCTTTGTGTTTTCAGTGGGAAGCAGCAACCAGATCCACATACAGCTTTCACCGGAATTCTGGTAATAAATTCCAGGGTCTACACTATGAAGACATTCAGTTCTACCAAAGTTGTTTTTCAATTTCTTAGGTGCCCCTAACCACCTCCAACCTCCTGCTCACCCACGACTCTAAGAAGCCTTGTTAGAAGTTGGAGGGAGCAGTCACAAGTCAGGGCAATGATTTCCATGACAGAGACACATCTCCTGACTTACCCAAAGGAACAAAAGGCTTGGAGGGCATACTGGGCTTGGAGATACCAACGGCATTGACTGCAAAGATGCGGACCTCATAAGCTACACCTTCAATCATCTTCTTGGGCTCAAAAGTTGTTTCTTTGCAGAGATCAAAATTTAGCCTCATCCATCTGGAGCTTTGTTTCTTTTTCCTCTCAATAAAGTATCCTGTAGGTGACACGAAATGGAAACTAAGGTTTTTCCATGGCTTCCAAAATTAAACTTTGTCAGATATTAGAATTCATAAAATCTCTAAGTAAAATAGTCAGGTATGCATATATTTTTAAGCCACCTTATTTCACCAGTTGTTTGAGAGAAATTATAGGGAATACAAACATTAACATCATAGGATATAGATAAAAGTAATAGGACTAGAAAAAAATTAAAATTGTACAGGAAGATAAGAGAGAAAAATAAATCACACCTATATAGACCATAGAAATACCATTGTTACAGTTGAGTAATAGATTTGGCTAGGAGTCCAAACAATGTAGGTTAGAAGAGGGAAAACTCACTTTTGTGAGTTTCAAATAGAAAAAATTCTTGTTCCACAGGGAAGGAAATTCTTCTAAGTATTTATCTCTAAAAAATTTTTTTTCATAGACATAATTCTATGGAGCTAGATATTTACTGATTAGAACAACTTAAAGTTAAACCTATAGATGTTGCAAAACTAGATATTAAATGTAGATGTCAAACAAAAAAGGGAACACTCAGATGATATTCATCAGAGTTATTTTAATCTCAAGTACTTATAAAGAATCCCAAAATATATTTCAATTTGAATGGATATTTAAAGTCAAAGTAGAATAGGTTTTCTTCTACATGCAATATTTTAAAATATGCTCTGTACTAATAAGCATAAAGAGGACTTCAACTTCAACGGTGGTTTCACAGATTGACTGACATGCAGTTACCTAAGATTGGGGACCCTCCATCATAGACAGGAGGCTCCCAGTTCATGATGCACCAATCATCTCCCACATCTGTCACACTTGGTGCCACTGGAGGATCAGGGATGTCTGTAGCAAACAAAAAATGGAATAGAATAGAATAGGATAGAAAAAGTAAGAGTAAGTGAGAGCACAAGACAAATGTTAATTGGAAAATCAGTTTTTGGTAATAATCATAGAAGCAGTGTTTTTTCTGAATACTTTTCCATGTTTATCGAAATGCATGTAGTAACTAATTTGGGCAAAAAGTCATGCTCCATATGGGATAAGGGAAGGTGAGCCCAATAAAGATAAATATAATATGTATTCAAGTCCTTTAAACCAGTGTCACAACATTAGAGAGCAAGCCCCATATGGAACTCCAGATACTTGTCCTTTACCTTGAAAACGGTAAACAAGAAATTATTGCATAAATATCAGATGTGATTTCGTGTTGTGTTTTGTTTTGAACTACAAAGTGAACTGTAAATCAGTTGGAAGAATCAAGATGTTGATTGGTAAAAATCCAAGTCAAAAATGGCAAGTTACCATATCTTATTAACAGAATTCAGTGTCTGATAAAGTGACCTTAGTTTCTGGTCCATTTGAAATATGATTCT